CACAGTGCTGTGCCTGATGTGGTGGCCACATCTCTAGACCACTTATATGCTGTGGCTCCCATGTGACCAGGAATCAAATGAAGACAGCCTGCTCACTTCTGCATATTAATGATTGAGAATTAAGTACACAGGACACAATTTCAATATTTGCAGATGGTGCAAAACATGGGAGCTTTGTGAACTGTGAGGAAGGTAGACTTGAAGAGGACATGGACTGGCTTGTGGAATGGATGAACAAGATATAGTGCAGAGAAATGTGTTTTGGAAGGATATATAAGGAGAGGCAATTTAAAATAAAAGGTAGAATTCTAAAGGCGTTGCAGGAAGAAAGAAACCTGCAAGTTGATGTGTGCAAGTCATTAAAACCGGTAGAGCAGATTTACGAAATCATTACAATGGCATTATGGACTCTGAACTTTATAAATACAGAACAAAAGCAAGCATATTATGATGAAACCTTATAAAACATTCCTTCATCCTCAACTGAAATACTGTATCCAAATTTGGGCATCCCACTTTAGGATGTACATGGAGTCTTTAGAAGGGTGTGCAAAATATATGAGAGAGCAAGAACTGCAGATGGTGGAGTCAGAGATAACAAAGTGTGGAGCTGGAGGAACACAGCAGGCTAGACAGCATCAGCGGAACAGGAAAGCTGACGTTTCGGGTCAGGACCCTTCTTCAGACCTGAAACGTCAGCTTACCCGTTCCTCTGGTGCTGCCTGGCCTGCTGCATTCCTCCAGCTCCACGCCGTGTTATCTGTGCAAAATATATGTGAGAGTTTGGCTCTTGGTTTGTGTGGAAGGGGGAGTTTATAAAGGGGTTAGTGTTTTCATTAATAGCGCTATATGCCAATGTTTTATGTTTATCTATTTACTTGTAATAAGTAATACTTCTTGTTCAGTACAGAAATCTGGTCCATGCTTTTTATCAACATTAGTCTGAAAGCCAGGTAAATTGGGCTATTGTGTGTAATTTAAAAAAAAAAATGGTTGGCTCAGTGGTTACCAGTGCTGCCTCACAGCGCCAGGGACCCGGTTCGATAGCAGCCTCAGGCGACTATCTGTTTGGAGTTTGCACATTCTCCGGTGTATGCGTGGGTTTCCTCCAGGTGCTCCAGTTTCCTCGCACAGTCCAAAGATGTGCAGGCTAGGTGGATTGGCCATGCTAAATTGCTCATAGTGTTCAGGGATATGTAAATTAGGTGGGTTATAGGGGTGTGGGTCTGGGTGGGATGCTCTGAGGGTCGGTGTGGACTTGTTGGGCCGAAGGGCCTGTTTCCACACTGTAGGGATGCTATGGAACTATGGAATGTGGTATGACTTCAGGGACAGACCCCCTTATCACTTATCCTTAGGCCTTCACAATACATCTTATTAAACCAGATTCCAGGTTTCAGCTCCTGCACCACTTATTCACCACTAAGTCCCCTGCTAAAGGAAGGGGGACTTCTCTACCTTACACTGAGTATCCATGGGAATGCACTTAAATCCCTTAATGCCTGTATACTTAACACTCGGTTGTTTATATAAAGCCTGTGGCTCTGATTAGCTGGGTGGGCAGTCTTAACTGATGTCTTTTCTATCCAATGATCGATACCAAACTTTCAAATAGCCCAGTACACAGCCTTCGACCATCATTTTTCAAGGGTATTCCTTATCAAACGATCTCTGCAAGCAGCTGCATTTGCTTCTGCTTCAATAGAATCTATTGTATGCATTTCACAAGATCCTTTTCTCTGTTGTTTAACTTCATTACCTTGGATATACTCCTTCTTAATGCTACTTTTGCTTAAGCTTGTGGTTTAACATTAAATATCAAATAACAGAAAGCTGCTGTTTCAGCTAAAAATCTTCGTCAGCCATTTTATGTCAACTGAAAGCCACTTTTTCGGTTATTTTATGTTAATTTCAGTCATGGGCTGCCGTAACAGATCGATCAGAGTGATGGAGATAGATGGTTTGGTGGCAAGCGATCATCTGAGCCGAGTAATTCGGCAGTTTTATTTTTGCGAAACCTTTTTAATAAAACAAGCATCAAATAGAAGATAGGCCCTTTATTTACAAATGCAAAGAGACTAACGCTTGTTTCAGATCTGGGACTTAATGTCTCTTTTAATGCTTAAACTAATATGCCAAGCAGCTAACTATCAGCTCAGACTTATGGCCATGATTTTGCCCACTCTGAAACAACATCATTCAGTCACTGTGCCGTTGTTTCTTTTTTATTCATTCATGGGATGTAGGTGTTACTGGTTGGGCCAGAATTTATTCCGCATCCCTAGTTGCCCTTAGAAGGTGGTGATTAGCTGCCTTCTCAAAGATCTGTAATCCATTTTGTGTAGGTACACCCACAATGCAATCAGAAAGCGAGTTGTGGGATTGTAAACCAGCGGCCGTGAAGGAACAGCAATATATTTCCACATCAGGATGGTAAGTGATTTGAAGGGGAACTTGCAAATGATGGTGTTTCTGTGCATTTGTTGCCCTTGTCCTTCTAGACTAAAGTAGTTGTGGATTTGGAAAGTGTTATCTAAGGACCTTTGGTGAATTTCTGCAGTGCTTCTTGTAGATAATACACACTGCTGCTACTGAGTATCGATGATGGAGCAAGTGAATGTTTGTGTTTGTGATGCTAGTGAAGCAGGCTGCTTTGCCCTGGATGGTGTGAAGCTTCTTGAGTGTTGCTAGGGCTGACTCTGGGAAGTGGAGAGAATTCCATCACACTCCTGAATTGTGCCTTGTACATGGTGGAAAGCCTTTGAGAGTCAGAAGGTGAGTTGCTTGTCGCTGGATTCCTAGCCTTTGATCTGCTTTTGTAGCCACAGTATTTGTGGCTAGCCCAGCTGAGTTTCTGGTCAGTGGTAACCCCCAGAATGTTGATAGTGAGAGGAGATTCAGTGTTGATATACCATTGAATGTCAAGGAGCAATAATTATGTTCTCTCTTGTTGGAGATGGTCATTGCCTGCCATTTGTGTGACATAAACGTTACTTGCCACTTGCCAGCCCTAAACTGAATATTGTGCAGTTCTTACCGCAACAGATAGGGGCTGCTTCAGTATCTGAGGAGTTGCCAATGCTGTTGAACATTCAGCAATCTTCAGCGAACATCCGTACTTTTACTATAATGAAGGGAAGGTCATTGATGAAGTAGCTGAAGATGGGCCAAGGATACTCCACTGAACAATTCCTGTATAGATATCCTGTATTGAGAGGGCTGACCTCCATCAACCACAACTGTCTTCCTTTGTGCTAGGTACAACTCTCACCAGCAGAGACGTTCTCCCCTTTTTTACCCCATTGACTTCAGTTTTGCTAGGGGTCCTTGATGCCACACTTGGTGAGATGTGGCCTTGATGTCAAGGGCTGTCATTCTTGCCTCACCTCTGGAATGCAGCTTTTTTGACCATATTTGAACCAAGGCTATAATGAAGTTAGGAGTTGATTGGCCCTCTCTGAACCCATACTGAGTGTCAGTGGCAAGTTGTTGTTAAGCAAGTGCAGCTTGATAGCACTGTTGATGACATCTTCCCATCACTTTACTAAAATTGGAGAATAGACTGAGTTGGATTTGTCCTGCTTTTTGTGAATGGGGGCAATTTTTCACATTGTTATTTTTCACATTGTCCATTTTTGTCATGTACTGAAACAGCTTGGCAAAGGCGTAGCAAGTTCTGGAGCACATATGTTCAGGACTACTGCCAGAATGTTGTCAAGACTCCGGATCCAACGCATCATCCTCCGACACTTCTGCCATCTGCAATCCGACCCCACCACCAAAGACATCTTTCCCTCCCCACCCTTATCTGCTTTCCGGAGGGACAACTCTCTCCGTGACTCCCTTGTCCGCTCCACACTCCCCTCCAGCTCCACCACACCCGGCACTTTTCCCTGCAACCGCAGGAAGTGCTACACCTGCCCCCATACCTCCTCCCTCACCCCCATCCCAGGCCCCAAGAAGACTTTCCACATCAAGCAGATGTTCACCTGTATACTGCATCCGCTGTACCCGGTGTGGCTTTCTCTACATCGGGGAAACCAAGCGGAGACTCGGGGACCGCTTTGCAGAACACCTACGCTCGGTTCGCAACAAACAACTGCACCTCCCAGTCGCGAACCATTTCAACTCCCCCTCCCATTCCTCAGACGACATGTCCATCCTGGGCCTCCTGCAGTGCCACAACGATGCCACCCGAAGGTTGCAGGAACAGCAACTCATATTCCGCTTGGGAACCCTGCAGCCCAATGGTATCAATGTGGATTTCACAAGTTTCAAAATCTCCCCTCCCCCCACCGCATCCCAAAACCAGTCCAACTCGTCCCTGCCTCCCTAACCTGTTCTTCCTCCCACCTATCCCCTCCTCCCACCTCAAGCCGCACCTCCATCTCCTACCGACCAACCTCATCCCGCCCCCTTGACCTGTCCGTCCTCCCTGGACTGACCTATCCCCTTCCTAACTCCCTACCTACACTCACCTTTCCTGGCCCCATCCCCGCCTCTTCGACCTGTTTGTTTCCTCTCCACCTATCCTCTCCTCTATCCCTCTTCTATCCGCCTCCCACTCTCTCCCTATTTATTTCAAAACCCCCTTCCCCTCCCCCTTTTCTGATGAAGGGTCTAGGCCCGAAACGTCAGCCTCTCTGCTCCTATGATGCTGCTTGGCCTGCTGTGTTCATCCAGCCCTGCACCTTGTTGTCTCGGATTCTCCAGCATCTGCAGTTCCTACTATCTCTGTTGTCAAGACTCGTTGCCTTTGCAGACTCCTTTGCCTTACCTCCAGCCATTTCTTGATATCATGTAGAGTGAATCAAACTGGCTAAAGGCTGGCATTGTGATTTGGGGACTGTATATAAAGTCAACATTGGGATCTTGGAGATGATGCTTGCAATGTTCTTTTCTGGAAATACTTATAAGACAATAAAGATAATGCAACAGTCTCATAAATAATTAATGTTTTCAAAATTAGATTGTTCATTCTCTGAATTTGCTTTTGACAGATATTTGAGCTGAATGATACAGTCCATAAATTAAAAGATGAAATGATGACCTTGCAACATCGATATGAAGAAAAGTGTAGCCAAATTGAAACTTGTGAAGAAATGATTGATCAACTGTCAGAAGAGTTGAATGCAAGTCAAGAGAACTTACAGAAAAACAAAGACCACACTGCTCAGTGTGAACAATTGATTGACATATTAAAAGAGAAGGTCCAGAAAATGCAAAGAGAGGTTAATATATTTAAATTGATCAATTTGTGTTGCGACCTCAAATAAAACTTTGTGAAGGTTCTGTTAAAAAAAAGTTCAATTGTGAGTTGTTAAGAATGAAATGCTCAAGATCAGTATCTGTCTAAATGGATCAATAGTGACATTTCCCATTGTGAATTATTTGCCATCTAATATCTGGAACATTACATGCTGTTGATTTATGAGGCTATATTTTAAATTGGGCACATGGAGGTTTAGATGAACCAGTTCACCTCTTTTCCCCATAACTTGGTTGAGCAGGAAAGTGACAAGTTCTGCCGTTTTCATGCAGGTGGTCAGTTTAGAAATGGCTTAGAAGTCCCCATCACCACATTGGGACCCAATTTAGCTATTTAAAAAAAACCTACCAATTTCTAGTGAGGATCTTTAAATAGCCAGCAACCTAGTTTTGGCCAGGCTGGCAATATTAAAATATAGAAAGTTGATTCTGATTTTCCAAAATGCCCTAAATTTCGTGATATCCCAACAGATTGTAAGTTAACAAATATAACTCCATTCCAAGGAAGGAGGGAAGGAAAGAACAAGGAAATATAATCTAGTTAGCCTGATAACAGTTGTCAGGAAAATGTTAAATCTTTTATTTTGGAATTCATAGCAATGAAATCTCACTTGCATCTCAGTCACATGTGGATTTATATAAACAGGCTGCCTTTAGTTCATCCAAGTCCACAAAGGTAGAACTGTTCAAGAGTCACCGCATCAGTCACATCCCTCACCGGTTTATTTAGCTTAATTGCATTTGTGATTATGCATATTTTAATTTAATAGTAATATTTGAATTGGTGAGTAGCAATCACAGATATGTCACCTTACGTTCTTTAATGGGGAGATGTGTGAAGGTATGCGGTGCTTTTTGAATGGGGACCCTGAGATCACTGGAGTGATGTGCACAATGCATTGCTGCTAAGAATGGATTTATTCAAAGTTGATTTTTTAAAACTTCATTTGTGGGATGTGGTGCCATTGACTGGGTGGCATTTATTGCCCGTCCTAAGTTGCCCTTGATGGTGGCGGTGAGCTGCCTTCTTGAACCGCTGCAGTCCAGGTGGTGGGTTTAATCAGATGTGTTCTTCTAGGCAGCTCAAAGAGAGCAACCAGTCCTACTGATTGAGAAGTGTTCAGGTGAAATGTACCAGGACAAGATGTTCATTGGATTTCACAGCATCTTGATAAGATATTGAACTCCTGAGGCAGCCCCAGCCCCAGCCCCAGCCCCAGCCACTTCCCTGTACAGCCTGGCACCATTCTGCTCTGAACCTTCCTCCTCTTCTTCCATTTCTTCCTCCTCCACTCTTCAAGGTCTGCACCTCTTTGGAGAATACAGCCATGCACCAAATTGCATGAGGCCCTGCAGGATTGTATTTGAGGGCACCACCCAACCAGAATGGTGTAACTTCAGAATTCTGACATTCTACTCAATGATGATCCTTGTGAGAGTTCAGCTTTTTAGCACCTCAGTCTCTTGTGTTCACAGCTCCGTTGAACATTTAAGGATTGTAAACCTTGATGGTTGATGAACCTCACAGGGCATGCACTCAGTGCCATGATGGCCATATGGGTGCAATTGACTATGCCTTGCACCTATTGGAATCCAGCAATGGAAGCGAAATCCACTGCTCATTGTAACTGGGACACTTCACCCTTTTAAAATTGTGTGTAGTGCCCATCTCTTGAAAATAAGGCAACAGAGACCTTTGAGACACAGCAGTGTGCTGCTGCTTAGAATCACAGTCATAGAGATGTACAGCACAGAAACAGACCCTTCAGCCCAACTCGTCCATGCTGACCAGATATCCTAAACAAATCTAGTCCCATTTGCCAGCATTTGGCTCATATCCTTCTAAATGCTAAATTCATGAACACACCCAGATGCCTTTTTCATGTTATAATTGTACCAGCCTCCTCCACTTCCTCTGGCAGCTCATTCCATACATGCAGCATTGCATGAAAATGTTGCCCCTTAGGTCCCTTTTAAATCTTTCCCATCTTGTCTTAAACCCTATGCCCTCTAGTTTTGTACTCTCCAACCCTGTGGAAAAAAAAACATGTCTATATACCCTATCCATGCCCCTCAGGATTTCATAAGATTGTCCCTCAGCCTCCGACTCTCCAGAAAAAATAGCCCCAGCCTGTTCAGCTTCTCTCTATAGTTGAGACCCTCCAATCCCAGCAATATCCTCGTACATCTTTTCTGAACATTTTCAAGTTTAACAACATCTTTCCTATAGGAGGGAGACCAGAATTGAATGCAGTATTCTAAAAGTGGCCTAACCAATGTCCTGTGCAGCCACAACATGATGTCCTAACTCCTATACTCAATGCACTGACCAATGAAAGCAAGCATACCAAAAGCCTTCTTCACCATTCTATCCACCTGCAACTCCACTTTCAAGGAACTATAAACCTGCACTCCAAGTCTCCTTGTTCAGCAACATACCTCAGGACCTTCCCATTAAGTTATAAGTCCTGCTTGAGAGACATCATGGCAGGTGGTCCTTAGAATGAGCCAAAGCAAAAGAAATTGAAGGCCACAAAACATTCATCTTTGCAGTTGGATTGTAATGACAACAGCTGTCACCCAAGCTTCAAAACCTCAAACTTAAGCTGCTCATTGTTGACAACACTTCTTATTGTAATAGTTGTCCGAGACATAGGAAGGCCCCACAACACAAAGGATGCTCATTCCACAGGTCTGAGGCATCCTGCCGCACTTCTATTTCATCGCAAAGTTAAAAAATAATTAAGTATCACTATATTGTGAGACAGTGTAGCTTCTTTCTGTGACCTAACGTTCTTCCTGCAAAAGAAATGAAATGAAGCAGCGATACACAAGGCAAAATTTAACAGATGGCAGAGATTCCCAGTGCACCAGCCAAAAAGCCATTGGAAAACGCATCCTGCAGCCAGTAAATACTCCAAGGAGCATTAATTGGCATGATTTGAGCCTGTTTCCCTCACTTGAGTGGAAGTATCACCTTCGATGCCTACTGACTAATGTGATTGGCCAACAGTTCTGTAGTTACAGCAATAACATGAGACTTGGACCCCAAGCAGCTCCCAAATTCTAAAGACAGTATCTTCCTGTTTCAAAGTAAATTGTTTGGTTGTCAATATACCTTTGACCGGTATCAGGAACAATGATGAGGAAGTCCTGGCTTCCAGCTGCTGGTCAGTCACTCCCACGATTGTTCACAGGTTAGTACAGATCAAGGAAATTATGATCATGCCATTTGATATTCTTTTACCAATTTTCCTAAATCTGTGTCCCTTGTTACTGATTCTTACTATGGTGGATCCAAACTTATCTAACTGAATGGATTGGCATAAATAAAACAAATGATCATTTTTATCCAAGTGTGGTAAAATATTTTATCCATGCTTTGTTGCAAATAAAAATAGTAACTATTAAATTTAGTTGTATCTCTGTAAGGGTTTTTTTTTAAATGATGGCCTCAGAATATATTAAAAAGAAAGGCGTGGACCTTGAACCAAATTAAAATTCATTAATGAAATAAAAGTAACAAAGTAGCATAACTTTGCTAATTTGAATTGTTAAGACAATGTTAATAGGAATCATTCAGTCAATTCTGAGGGGAGAACTTGTGATAGTAATAGATGCGGAGAATTGCAGTGTTTCATTTAAACAAAGCATTATAACTACACTTGGAGTGATGAACCAGTTATAAATTTTTGAAGTGAAAAGTTCTTTTAGTATCTTGGGAATGAATGGAAAGATGAACAGTTTTTCTTTTAAGTATGGTGGAAAAGTGTGACAGCAAATACGTGTGTGGCACATGTAGGTATGATATATCCACAAATTCTAACTTGGACATGTTTCCCCCAAATTTTATGTTCTCTATTATTATTTAGATTACTGATCAAGAAGACGCAATACAACAACTCCAATCAGACTTGACACAGTGTCAAATCAACCATAGTCATTCCAATGAAGAGTATAATACGCAGACTAGACACATTGAATATTTGCAGAAGGTCAGATTTGTATCCAATATCTGCATAATAATCAGAGCTCTTTAAAGAACACTTTTTGTTTATTTATTCTTGCCCTCTCCGATTAATTTTTTGAACTGCAAGCAACTTGTAATCTGCATTCCAAATGTCATGCATAAGGGACGTTTGTGTGGCTTCTTAACAAAAAATGCCTGTTAAACCACAGCTATGTATCTGAATTTTATAACTTCCTCATTTTGTAAAGTAATTTGAACAATGAAGGCTCTTACATGTAATATGAATAAGTAAGCTGACGTTATTGCTACTTCCATATAAATTTATAGCTAACTCTCAATAAAGTATAAAAGTATGTTTGTTTGAAGCTACTTTTTTCTACCCATTTGATTTATCAATTTTAAGATTCTTGGCATATTGAACTTCATTTAGGACGTCTAATCTAATCTTAGTGCACTGCAATTTTTTTGATGGAATTCTTTCTCCTTGTCTCTGGGAAGGCCCTAAATGAAATGAGTTTGAATAGTTTCAAATGGGACCAGATTTTAGATCCATAGAACAAAATGTTCATAATGTTGTGTAAATTAGCATTCATTTGGCATAATTATTTTATGTTTTAAATGTCAGGATGGTCCTTCTCTTCTTGGGCCAACCGGCTTTTGTTAACACCCATTCCAACATTCAGAAGGTATGAGCAGTCAGCTCTCCAATTGTTTGATGACCAAATTTCTGGCTGCTGGCAGTCCTGATATGCTACATCTCAGGCACTGCAGAAAAATATTTAAACTAGTTGGCACATATTAGACAAACAGGAGGCTGGAAAAATCCAGCAAGGCAGGCTGCATCTGGAGGAAAGGAGAAGTCAATGTTTCGAGTATTACCCTTCTTTAAGAAAGAAGCACATATTATTGTGAATTCAGCTTAAATTGAGTAACTCGTGGAAAAGACCAATCTTACATCTAAAATTTGACTTATGCAATGCAATTGATTAGTTGTGAAAGTTGATCTCCCATTGAATTACTTATAAAGGTGAAGTCATTTTGGGTAATATCAGCAATACTGGAGGCAGCAAACTAGCATCCATTTTACAATTCTCCTCATTTCCTTTTCATTGAGTTAACTTTCTTAAACAGTATAGAAATTTAGGCAGAATCGATAACCAACTGAATCAGACATTGACTATATGAATCTGTAACCGTTTTGACATAATCATCATTCTACCAATTAAACATTTGGAATGTTTGTTAAAAATGTTCATTGATACCCTTGGTTGATTATGTTTTTATACTTAAATATCTTGTAATAATTCTCATTGCAGGAATTTACTCAGAAATTAAATGCACTGCATAAACTTTGATTGATAGTATCCCATGATATTTTTCATATCTTATTTTTACCAGGCACTTGCAAGTGTGAAAAATGTTTGCAATGAAAAAATCAGTGAAGTTGAACAATATGAGCAAACCATATTTGATCTCAGAACAGGGATAGCAAAATCTTCTGACCAGCAAAACAGCTATATAGATGAAGTGGAAAATCTTCAAAAAACTTTGAAAACCCTTCAACTGAGTGGAGCAGCTTCTGATCATAAGCATAAACTAGAACTCGTACAACTGCAGCAACAGATTACCCAACTTGAAAATGATCTTAGAGATTCACAGAGAGCTTGCAACCAAAAGAATCAGGTTTGTTTCACATTTGATAATGAGAATTGTTAGGATGCTTGATGTAAATCTCCTCATGATATCTACAAATAGTCATTTTAACTTTGGTGAAAGATCAGCACATTGTGCCTTCTGTTGATCTGCTGAAATTACAGAGGCTGGTATGGAGAACACGCAAAGAAATTTCCAGTTGGTTTGATTTTTCTGAGACTTCACACTAAGAAAATAAAACCGTATAATTTGATAACAATATAAATTTGCTGCCTTAAGCAGTCAGAATTAATTAAGATGACAGGTGGATAGTCAAACCGATTTAATTGACACCAGGCACCAGATCTAAGTGTACTAACATTTAGTTTTTCATGTGTCTTTCAGGACATGATTCTGATCAGTTACTCAAACTGTGGCTCCTTAACTGTATAGTTTTCTCTTAAAGTTTATTTCGACCTGAAACTTTGCCAAATAATGTCTTTGAAATGTTGATTTATCTGACATTTATGATGATAATGGTGAAATTGACTTACTCTGGAAAAATAAATGGAGCCTAATGTTTGATCTAATGCTGTTGAAATGTGGCTGAATTTATCAAAATTCAGATTTATGAATAGTGTTATCACCATAGATGCTTATTTCTAATTTGCATCTTTCTTTTCTGATGATAGTTAATACTGCTGTGCTACAGGTGAAAGCAGAAGGGGAGAGTGCAAAACCCTGACTTTAGAACCCTTTTCTTCAGGGCATCTCTTGTCTTCCAAGCCCAAAAGTCTTGGCTCCAGCATTGGTCTCCTGAGTCACTTATGGACACACTAATTATAGAACATAGAACATAAAACAGTACAGCACATTCAAGGTTCTTCGGCCCACGATGTTGTGCCAAACTCTTACCTTAATCCTAAGGTCTATCTAACCTCCATCCCTACCTTATACTATCATCCATATGCCTATTTAATAGCCTCATTAAGGCCAACTCCACTACCCTCTCCAGCAATGCATTCCATGCCCCTACCACTCTCTGACCTCTCCCCTATATCTACCTCCACTCACTTTAAAACTATGCCCCCTTGTGATAGCTACCTCCACCCTAGGAAAAAGGCTCTGGCTGTCTACTTTATCTATACCTCTGATCATTTGGTACACCTCTATCAAGTCACCTTCGTCGTTCTAAAGAGAAAAGCCCTAGCTCTCTCAACCTTTCCTCATAAGACCTTCCCTCCACTCCAGGCAACATTCTGGTAAATCTCCTCTGCACCTTTTCCAACGCTTCCACATCTTTCCTGTAATGAGGCGACCAGAACCGGACACAATACTCCAGATGTGGCCGAACCAGGCTTTTGTGTAGCTGAAGCATAACTTCACGGCTATTGAACTCAATCCCTCTATTAATGAAAGCTAACACACCATACGCCTTCGTAACAACTCTATCCACCTGGGTGGCAACTTTCAGGGAACTGTGGACATGAACCCCAAGATCCCTCTGCTCCTCCACACTGCCAAGAATCTTTCCGTTAACCCTGTATTCTGCTTTCAAGTTTGTCCTTCCAAAATGAATCACCTCACACTTTTCAGGGTTAAACTCCATCTGCCACTTCTCAGCCCAGCTCTGCATCCTATCAATGTCCCTTTGTAACCTAGAACAGCCCTCCGCACTATCTACAACTCGACCCACCTTCGTATCGTCCGCGAACTTACTAATCCACCCTTCCACTCCTTCATCCAAATCATTTACAAAAATCACAAATAGAAGAGGACCCAGAACAGATCCTTGTGGTACACCACTTGTAACTTATGAAGCCTGGCATATGCCATGCTCATTTTGAGAGACTGACTGATGAGGACTGCAATTTTACATGAACAATTACAGCCTTTTGATACCCTATCTAAATAATTGTGAGTGATCCTAGACAACACAGCTGAAGATAGAAGCCCTGTAACACTTCATTATTTAATTTTTAAGAGCCACAAAGTGAAACTGCCCAGATACAAAGTTAATGGAACTAAACTAAGGAAGGGGAAAAATTCACTTGTTTGATATTCTATCATCACCGAGATTTCCATTCTGCAAGGTTTTGTTTTGCATCTGGCTTTTTCTTGGCTTCTGAAAACCTCATTCATTTATTTTTCAAACCCTAAACTCAATGTGAAAGAAGTTTGTCTTGCACAAAATTGTAGGATCAACTATTTCATGGACAGACCTTACACCCAAGTCAAATGCTGCCAGTGAAATGCCAGCTTCTAATGCTGAGAACAAGAAATTGGCTGGCTGCAAAACAAAAAGACTTGACAAGAAGTAACCTGAGTGGCATGGCCTTTGAACAAATCACATCAGGAAGAAATTTACTTTTTTCCTCAATTGAGGAGAATTCCTCCCCCTTAACCCACAAAAGAAAAGTGAAAACTTCTTAGCCCATTTATCGAGCTACCTCCAGCAGTTCATGTAACAATACTTGAAGGTTATCAAGGCATGATACAACTGGGCAGAGAATTCTCAGAGCAAACTCCACTCATTTACAGTTGATTTTCACATTGGGGTTCTACAGCTAGGGTATCTAAATATTTTAACCCATTTCAGTTGGTGCATCATGTGACTAAAAGTCCATCAATCTCATTTATCACACTTCAAGCCGAGATTGGGCGCAGTGAATCATAGGGTGAGATACCTCTTCACAAGCCATGGTGTTGAATCCATTTTGTGATTTAATCCAGTTCACTCCTTGTTGTTTTGTATCAACAGACTGAATGTTTTGCTAAATTGTAAGTCTCTGATCTCAGGCTTATATTGAACGTCTGCTTTCCAATAGATTAATTTTTTTTTAAATTGTCTTCAAGTCCTTCACTTCCTGACCCTATTGTAATTCTGAAACCTCCTCAACCTTTATAAACCTCCCTACACCTTTCATTTTCTGACTCTTCCATTGACACGGAGAGAGATTTTAAAAAGACATGAGGGGCAAATTTTTTACACAGGCTGTGGTTCACGTGTGGAATGGACTTCCTGAAGAAGTGGTGCATGCGGGCACAGTTACAACTACAAGAGCAGGCAAATGGGACTAGTTTAGTTTGGGATTATGTTCAGCATGGACTGGTTGGACCAAAGGGTCTGTTTACTTGCTGAATGACTCTGACTCTGACACATCTCTGCCATCTCTCCTAATTTGACACCATTGGTGGCAAACAATTCTGTTTTTGTTCTACTTTCCTAGCCCACTTTCTAAATCTCAATTTACCTTAAAATTGTGCCTTTAAAATTAATCATTTTGGCCAAGCTTTTAGTCAACATATTAATCTCTCCATGAATACATTGGAATCCATTCTTTTTTCAATTCTATTTGTGAATTGGCTTGGGATTTTGTTCACATTGTTTGGTGCTTGATGAAAATACATGTATTTCTTTGAAAAGTTTGGAAGGTTTAGTGGATGTGCATGTTATCTTTGATCTTTTCTTTGGTCTTGTTCTTTTTTTCCTAATTGAGGAAAAACACTCCTTCTCTTTGGCCCACAGATAACATAATGATAACAAATAAGAAAGACAATTTGGTCCATCTAAGTTCACCTATTCAGAAAAACAGACTACATTTTCACCAGAATAGCATCAGACTTCTTACACAATTTTAAGCCTTCTGCAGCTGTTTATCTAAGAGATTTGTTTCATGAAATGATCAATCTGTGTGAACAGCTTAATGATTTTTCTTCTCAAATTGTCTCCCTGAATTCAAGTCCTTGGTGATTACTTGCTGAACCACAGCAAACTGCTACATTTTTTTGTTATAAGCAGGATGAGGAATAGGGTGAGAGTCTATCACAGCTAGAATAAGGTTGAATCCTGTGTTATTGCTGTTAATCTGACCCATATGCTAGCTGTCTAACAAAATGAGCTAAATTGACCTTCACCTTAGTGTTATCAGTCCTAAATTTCTTTCTTCCTGTTTTGATCCTGTGACCATTTGCATTAATCCCACAATTTACTTAGAAGTAATGTTCTAGATCTCCCTTTATCAACATAGAACATAGAACATTACAGCGCAGTACAGGCCCTTCGGCCCTCGATGTTGCGCCGACCTGTGAAACCAATCTGAAGCCCATCTAACCTAAACTATTCCATTATCATCCATATGTTTATCCAATGACCATTTAAATGCCCTTAAAGTGGGCGAGTCTACAATTTTTGCAGTTTACTATCTTCTATTCCTCTCAGTTACTTTACTCCAAGGAATAAAAAATCGTGTTTCTCTACTTGTGCTATTATCGCTGTATTCTTGATCCAGAGACTCAGCTAATATTGTGGGGACTTGGGTTCGAATATCTGCCATCACAGATGGTGGAATTTGAACTCAATGATAATCTGGAAAAAGAGTTTAATAATGGCCATGAAACCATTGCTGATTGTCAAAGAAAAACCCATCTGGCTCACTAATGTCCTTATAGGAAATCTGTCATCCTTACTTTGTCCGGCCTATATGCAACTCCAAACCTACAGCAATGTGGTTGACTCATAACTGCCCTTTGGGAAATTAGGGCTGAGCAATAAATGTTAGTCCAGCCAGTGACGCCACATCCCATGAATGAACAAAAAAAACTCAGCAGGACGAATACATGAATGCCACATTTCAACACAAGAGAATAAGGTGCTGATTCATAGGCAATTAATTTTCTATTATAAATGTAGAAAAAGGAACACAGTATGAGTTTTAACAAAATTTTGAAGGTGGAACTAATAGATATTTTTAAACAAACTTTTCAAATGTGTTATAACACACCTCTGGAGCAAGTGGGACTTGCACTTAGGGCTTCTGATACATTATTAGGGATCTTTTCACTGCGCCAGAAGATTCTATGAAATTCACATATTCTTCACAATAACATGATTTCCAGTGAACTGTCCATGGTTTTGGTTAAATATGTCATTAAATGTTTTAGTTGAATGGGCCAAAGGGGCGTGAGTAGGCCATTTACTCCCTCAAGCCTGTTGTGCCTTTGATTACATAATGGACAGAGTCTTAAACACAAACTGAAATTGCTGGTGA